CCAAAGACTCAAGAACCATCTCTTCTCTTTGTGGTGCAGTGCAGTGACTGCACAGATCTGCTCAGGAGGTGGCAGAGCTTTAGAGAAGGTTCCTGACCTTCCTAGAGAAGGTTCCTAACCTTGCTTCCCAGGGCACAAGTGAAACACATCCTCAAGTCATATGGCAGAACTTTTTTTCTTTTTTTTTTTTATTTTCCTAATAGGCCTATTTTGGGAAAATGGGCTAAAGAGTCCTAGATTAGCTTTAGTATTTTGGACACCAGTCCTACTTTTGTGCGTGCACCCAGATGAATTTATCTTTAAGTTTGGATACAAATGCAGTACCTGGAGCTTTAAAAGCACTGGGTAAATAACAGCCTGTCTGAACAGCTCCCAGGAATAAAGGACTTGGAGCTGGCAAAGGAAGGCTGCTGTCTGGAATCTGGAGCCAGACACATTCAAAGTAGAAATCAAGTACAAATTTGTAATGGAGAGGGTGATTAATCACCAGGATGAACTAGAGTTGGATGGATGGATCATTGGTCTCTTGCTGATTTTGAGGCAGGATGTCCTCTGGACAGAAGTTAAGCCAGGTGACTGTTTTACTTCAGTGTAAGAGAAGCCCATGGAATCCAGAATCATTTAGATTGGAAAAGACCTCCAAGATCATCCAGCTGGAATGAGTCCAACCTGTGAGTGATCCCCACCAGAGCACTGAGTGCCACGTCCAGTCATTTCTTGGACACCTCCAGAGTTGGGGACACCACCACCACCCTGGGCAGCCCCTTCCAGTGCCTGACCACCCTTTCCATGAAGGAATTCCTCCTGATGTCCAGCCTGAACCTCCCCTGGCACATGTTTATAGACACACGTGTACACACATGTGAACACCCCTGCACAGAGCCCACCCAGAGGACCTGGCAGTTCCTACAGACCTTGAGCTGCACATGCAGTAGAAGACTTGAACTTTGAATTTTGTTTTTTGCTATTTCTAGGAGAGGATTGGTTTGTAATTCTGCATGAGTCGGGAATCTGGCTTTTACTTCAAGTTCAGCAGTGGTAGAACTTCATTCTTTGGGCTTAATTTCTTCACCATCCAACGCATCAGGTTTGTCAGCAAGGCTGGAACTTGGGGGTTCTGCATTTCTGGTATGACAATTGTAGTGGTGGGCCCATGTCCTCAGGCAGATTCCATGTTCAGCCACTGATCCTGCCCTGTGTGGCTTTAAGCCAAGAATTCAGCCCCTCTCTTCATGTTTTACTTATGTCAAAATGATGATGTTTGTCTTCCCCAAGGACAAAAGCTTAAGAACTTACCAAGGAAGGTATTAGTGAAATACAAAGTGATGGCTTTTTTTTTTCTTTTTTTTTTTTTTTTTACTAGGTGAGTCACTCAGAAATTAAAAGAGAAAATGAATTTCTCTTCCAAATAAGTGATATCAGCCTCATTTTTACCAAGTGACTTTCTCCTTGCTTCTGCAGGGCGTTGTGGATCAGGGTGAACTCTACTTCAAAACATTTAATTGCACACAGTGAGAAATGAAGAAAACTGAAGTGGATCCCAAGAATGTATTAAAAAAAATCAGAACTAAAATGAGAATGATTTCATGTCAAGTGAGACAAATGCAGAGTTGATACTCCAGTGCTTCACACTTCCACTTGTCCTTGGCACTGAGAAAATGAGATTTTTAATATCTGAAAAACAGATTGCCATGAGGACTCATCCATTGTCAATTTAAGCTGCCTTTATAGCAAACTTAAGCTGGGGACAAGATTGTTCATTACATGTGATTCTACAACTGCAGCCACGATTTCCATATTAATAGTGACTTTTTTTTTTTATTATTGTCTGTACCAGCCATAGGAAAGGGGAGCTGGTTGTGTTTTCCCTACGTTAGCAGATCATTTATTTAATGAATAATGCGAAGAGGGCAAAGGTTTGTGAGCTCTTACCTGCCTCTCACTACAGACAGTGGTGACACCTGCCTTTGCTGCTGTCTCAGAGCGGGTTTGGTGCTTTGGTTTGTGCTAAAAGGGAAAGAGGGATGTTGAGTCCTGATTTCAGGGTCGTGATTTGTTGGTGACTGAAGTGATGTTGGTTGGGATTGAATTTTTTGGACTAAAATTACAGGTGAGGGGTTGGTTGTTTCCTGTCTGAGGTGCCCTTAAATGACAAAAACGTTTCAGCTTCAGACTTGACGCGTGTCTGGGGGTGGGGAAGGTGTTTCTGTGCCCCTGAACTTTGGACCAACGTGGAGTCAAAGACTGTTTGTGCCCCTTTTCAACAGCAGCCACTCTGTGCTGGCAGCAGCCTTAGGAAGCACCAGCTTCTTCCCCTTTCTCTGGAACTCCATTTGCTGTCAGACCTGAGGATTCCCTGTCCTTCCTTGGTGCTTGGCTCAGTCTGGGACAGTTTGGGATTGCATTCTGAGTGCAATAAAAACCAGCTCAGCCTTTAACATAGCAAAAACGGAGATCTTTTTCCTATTTTCCCATGAACTCTCTACTGAAATCCCACCATCCTCTGTCTGCTCTCACAGATCTGGAGTCTCTTGGAAAAGCTCCTCTTCCTCCGCTGTTCACATCCCAAATTTGGTCTAGATCCTAATGGCTCTTCACTTACATTTGAGGTCTATACCATTTTTTTTCCTCTTCCATTACTATTACTAATATCACCCTCCTGCCTTTGTCATCTCAAACCCTGAGTTACTGCAGCCTTTTCTTTGCCTCTGTTATCTCATCTCCTCACGTTCCAGTTTTAATCCTGCGTTTCATGATGATGGAAAGTGATCTTTCCTTTTTGGGTTTCCTTCTTTGCTTCTTCCCCACTCCTCACCCTGGAAGCAAATCCTTCTCTGACGAATCCAGTTCTCTATCATTAGCCTCTCTGACCTTCAGAAAGTTTGTATATATTTAAGTCTAATTTGTTCCTCTTTGGAAAACAAACCAGCTCTCTGTATTAAAATTTGGCAAGAAGTCAACAGCATGATCTCATATTTTTTTGTGACTGCCTCGGGGAACATGTTTAAAATGCAGTTAAGAGATATAACAGGGGAGGGGTTTGGTGTAGAAGTCTTTCTAAAAGGTTTGGGGTGGGTGACTGTGAGGGACCTGGGGGTTTGTCCCTCCCATCCATCAGTGGTTTGGTGCCACCGTTTCACTCCCAGGCCACAGGGTGTGACCTGTCACAGTCTGCCGGGACCACTCTTCGTGTCTGTGACCTTGCTCTGGGTGACCTCCTTTCCTGGAGAGGAAGAGGCAGCTCCATGTGGGCCAGATGACTTGTTTTGGAAGTGGCAGCAGCCAGCTCTGAGCAGCTCCCCTCCCTGGGAACACCCAGCTTTCCTTGGCCGCGTCTGGGTGGGAGAAGGCACATGTGGACAGGCTGGAACCTCCCAGGAAAGCTGGTGGCCAAAGCCGAGTGCTGCTGCCCCTGGGAATGCTCAGCCAGCCCAGCCTTTTGTCCTGAGGGTTCAGGAGTTTTTTTCATGAGGGGAAAAGAGGAAAACCAATAAAACACAGGAATGATGGTATCACCATCCTTGGAGGGGTTTAAAAGCCGTGTGGATGTGGCACTTGGGGACATGGGTTAGTGGTGGCCTTGGCAGTGCTGGGGGGGATGGTTGGACTCGATCTCAAGGGAGGTGATTCTCCCCCTGTACTCTGCTTTTTTGAGACCCCACCTGCAGAGCTGCCTCCAGCTCTGGGGCCCTCAGCACAGGAAGGACATGGAGCTGCTGGAGTGGGTCTAGAGGAGGTCACAGGTGCTCCAAGGGCTGGAGCCCCTCTGCTCTGGAGCCAGGCTGTGAGAGCTGGGGGGGTTCACCTGGAGAAGAGAAGGATCCAGGGAGACCTCAGAGCCTCTTCCAGTGCCTGAAGGGGCTCCAGGAGAGCTGGAGAGGGACCTGGGACAAGGGATGGAGGGACAGGACAAGGGGGAATGGATTCCCACTGGAATAGGACAGGGTTAGATGGGATATTGAGAAGGAATTGTTGGCTGTGAGGGTGGTGAGGCCCTGGCACAGGTTGCCCAGAGCAGCTGTGTCTGCCCCTGGATCCCTGGAAGTGTCCAAGGCCAGGTTGGACGGGTCTTGGATCAACCTGAGGTAGTGGAAGGTGTCCCTGCCCCTGGCAGAGGGTTGGAACAAAATGATCTTTAAGGATCCTTCCAATCCAAACCATTCTGAGATTCCATGATCTTAGGGGGCTTTTCCAACCTAAACAATTCTGTGGTTCTGTGGTCTGTGTATGCCCAGTGGACTCCATCTGGGATAGGTGCTGTTCTCCCCAAAGCCTCCAGCAGGTGTGATAAAAGAAGAGTCATTCTGTAGTATCTGGACCACCTTTAACCACTTGGAAGAGGCAAGATGTGTCCATCCATGATTGCTGCCCCTGGATAGCAATCCATGATTGCTAATATTGGACATCTCTTTATGGAGCAGAGGAAATCATCCCATTGCAAATCCATGTGCTGCTCTATCCACTTGTTTTCTCTCCTACCTCACCCATAGCCTGAAGTGTAAATATTGTCCCTAGTTCTTTCTACATGTCCCTGGATAGAACATCCTGCCTTTCTCTTTCCCTCTGGTTAATAGTTTGACTTTTGGAGCACTTTCAGTCCATGTTAGTTTGTGGAGAAAAACATGAGCGGTAATAGCTAAAGAAAACTCTATTAGGTCATTCCTCCTCAGAACACAGTACCTGTCTCTGAGCTCTCTGAGGATGTTGGCCAAATAATCCTTTTAATAGCTTTTGTGAGTTAAAAGGGTAGGTAACTGTCATAAGGCTAAATGATTGCATAGATTAATTTACTTGTGGCTGAAAGAAATCAATTGTAATTTAAATTTTTGTCTCTGGACTGATGACACCACCAGACTTTCTCCTGAGGAATGTACCATGTGCTCTGAAGTCTGTGAGCCTCTGTGGGTCTGGATTAGTGACAGGTTATCCAGAATAATGGGATTGAGTCTCTTTGCCTTTCACAGACATCTCTAATTTGTCTTTTTCCTTGTGTCTTACAGAATGGTGAATAACACTGAAGACCCTCAAGAGGCTTTATAACGTCCCATCCCCATGTAAAGTATGCTCAGAACTTTTCCAGTAGTGTAAGTACAAGCTGAAGAAGCCCAGAACAATTAAGATCATTTGATGGTATTTTTTTCTGTTAATTTGTCTAAAAAGAGCAGAGAAATGGTTACAATGATTATGAGCAGTTGGCTGGAGAGTTCCACTCCTTTGGTGGAACATTTAAACCAGGGAATAGTAAAATAACCAGACATTTAAATCAGGGAATAGTTACTTTTAATTGCTCACTTGGTCTGGCTGATGTATTGTTTCTATTTCTACTTCTCTGTCTCTGAAAGAGAAAGAAAACCGTGCAGTTCTTTGAAACTTGGCCTTGATCAGAGAAAAATTAGTGTTAAAAGAGAGATCTTCATACATCTACTGAACATACTGGAGAGATACTAAAGGGAGACCTGAACTGGGCAAGAGTTTAGCACCACTCCAGACTTGGCCAAAGGGATGAGAACACTATCATAATTCAGTGTTATATGGCAAAGGCAGAAAACCTGGGGCACCTCACTTCACCTTAGAATTGGATGGGCTATTCCAAGCAGTATCTTGAATCCCAGGTGGAATGGAAGTTGTCTAAATCTCATCCTTGAAGCCTGTCAATTTTTTCTTTTTTTTAAATGGCTTCTGTTCATCAATCTTCAGTGTAATTGGTCTCCATGCTGTTTCTTCAGTAAATAAGCAAATGGATTCAATTGTTGAAGCTGAAAGGCTGAAGGGAAAGGCTTGACCTGCTCTGTGCTGTCCCTCAGCTCCCACTGGCCGGTCTTGGTTTGCTGTTCCCAATATCCCTCTTGTTGGCACAACCAACTGCTTGTTCCCAGCAATCAGATTCCTGAGATACTTTGACCTCTTGACTTTGGATTGTTCCTTCTGTCAGACTGAGCTGGGAAGAGAAACCAGGTCTGCAGAATAGGTGGGAAGGAACTGGACTGCTGTGAATGCAGCCACGTTTTCCCAGATGGATTATTTCAGTTTATCCTTATCATAGTGCAAGTGGCAGTGCATTCACAGGCTTCTGTAGAGGGAGCCACAGCAAAAATAAGCCTGCCAGGGATTTTTTTGTTGGAAACCAAACTCCAATGGATTTCAAAAAGACTTCTTGATACAGCCCTTAATTAGTTATTTTCTGTTGCTGGTGGCTTTAGTCTTCTATTCAAAACTAGTGGTTTCCTGCTTTGTTGCCAGTCCCTTGAGCTGGAAATGTGTTGGATTTCAGTATTAAAATCACCACTTGAAATTGTAAAGATCTAGTTCACAGCAGGAGAGGAGTCAGGAGGTAAGGCCACGTTGCCCTGTGCATCTTCATTGTTCTGGTAATCCAGAGTTTGCAGAGGGATCTCAGATCACTTTGTGTGAGCACAGGGACAGTCTGACTTTGTGTCAGGCTTTCACCATGAATTTCCAAAGTGGGAATTGCGTGGTGTGAGTTTGCTGTGCTTTGATTTCAGTCCTGTTCTGCCCCTGTGCAGTTTTCTGCCCTGTTCATCAGCTGCCACCTCCCAGCAGAGCAGCAGCAGCAGCTTCGATTTATTCCAGTGTATGTGCAGTTAATAGGATGCAGTGGAAGTAGAGGTGAACAATTTTTGACTGAGGGGAAACCAGGATGAACCTATTTGGAGGGGATTAGAGAGTATTAAATTAGAGCAAATGGGCCAAGATGACCCATTAAGGTATAAAATTTCCAGATTAGACATAGATATCATTAAAAAAAGGGTAAGTGGGATTGAGAAGGGGAAAGGAGAAAATGGAGCTTTAAAAAAAATTTAAAAGTTTGAACTTAAATTCTGTATAAGATAAAGGTTGAACAGTTAAAACTACCGGTAGGGGAGGTAAGGGAGGAGTTGGGTTATCCCTACACACAGAACAGCCAAATAGGAACCTGGCTGCACTTACCATTTCTCCTGCCTAATTTTTGTCCACAGCTGGATGAGAGTCAGTACTTGAGAGAAGTTTGGGGCATGGTATGAACACAGAACTCTTGATTTTTGTCTCACAAGAATTTGTCATTTATCTGAAACTAAGCCCTGTAGCCAATGCAAGTTTATCTCTCTTGGGTTCTCCATAAATATAATGGGAGTAATTACTTGTGCTTCATGGGCTTATGGCAGTATTGATTAATTAATATGTGTTAGGAGTGAGCTATGACCATCAGGATGTTTTGCATCCCTCAAAATATGAGTTCTGAGGGAACCAGGCAGTTGCAACGTCGTCACCTGAAGTTTACCTGAATTATCAGGCTGGTGCTTGTGAATCTTAATTGCCAGCAATGACAGGGCTGTCTGGGGAGTGAGTAAAAGCCTTTGGAGTGGGAAGAGAATCAGGGTGAGTAATGCAGATGGAAAAGGACTGGGTTGAAGCCTTGTCATCATTTAGGGAAAACAACAGAAGGAAAAAACCCAAGGATGTGGATGCTCCCAAGTCGGCACACGCTGAAGAGCAGGCACTGGAGTTACAGTGGCTTAGAAAATAAAATCACAGGTTGAGCTGTAACTGTCCAGTGCCCTTGAAATGTGGCACAAACCACGTTAATTAAACTTGGGAGAAAGAAGACTCAGCTCATTTTCTCTTTTTGTCTTGCTTGACAAGGTATCCTGTAAATAGTTGGTGGCTGTAGGAATATTCAGTTGGCTTTTTAAGCTTCCTTAGCTGAAACAATGCCCTGCCTGAGCCTGTGGTTTTACTTTAGGATAAAGCAGATGAGTTAATTCATGATTTCACAGCCACTCTGAAAGGGTCCTTAAAAAAAAAAAAATCTTATTGAATGGAAAAATTCTTCCCCAAAATTTCTTCCAGTGATGGATTTCCCTCCCTGGAGGGATTTAAAAACCCTGTGGATGTGGCAGCTGGGGAGGTGGGTTAGTGGTGGCCTTGGCAGTGTAGGATGTAGATGGGTCTTCTCTATATCATGCAAGAGGAAATTTCCCTAGTTCAGGTCTGGACTACACAAAAAATTTAAAATTGTTGCTTTAAGAGCATTAATTAGGACATTTGTTTATTTCTGAAATGCTTTTAACTAAAATAAAACTCTAATATGGAGGCAGCTGTGGCCAAAAGCCCATGTTTTTGCCATTATGATTTATATTCTTCAAGGAGACACCGTTATCTATTCCTGAGTTGTTCTCCAAGTGGAGTCTCTGTCCTCATTAAGGCTGTGCCAGTGAAACTACACTTGCAAACTGTTTTTTAGTGGAAAATTATTTGCTTTGTAGTTAAGCACAAAATCAGGAGTAGGTGAGGTTCAGCTGTTTGCTGGGTTTCCATTTTAGTTTTCTGAAGCAACAAATTTCTCTTTTAAGGAAGTGTTTTGGTTGTTCCTGCTGGGGATGGATCCTGAGGGAGAACGAAGGGGCCTGAAATACTTCAGGATGTCTCTTTTCCTTCCTGTGTGGAAGAGGTGGTGGAAATCCTGGTGATGGCCTTGCTTGAAACTTGCCCTACACCTTGTCATGTCTGGTGCTGTAGATGGACCCTGTAGGATGGCCTTGCAAAAACACTCAGAGTTTGGCCAGGCACTGGCTCTGCCTTCTTGCAGAATTCCTGTGTGACTTTGAACAAGTCCTTTGGACTTGTCTGAAGTCCAGCCCCTCTCTGGGAGCTCTTGGTCGCAAAAATTAGTGTAGTTTTACTTCTCTGCCTCCCAGGGATCTTCTGCAGAAAGATGTGTTTTAAGTATTTAGATACTCCAGCTGGCAGAGTTAATGGAGAAGAGTTTGGAGATGCTGTCTGGATTTTAATAAAGGATTGGTCAAATTTTGAAGTGAAATGGAGGAGGCAGAACACAGCACTACACCTGTGATCTTGACAGCTGAAAATACGTGACTTATCAAACAGTCCTGGAATGGTTTGGGTGGGAAGGGACCTTAAAGCTCATCCCATTCCATCCCCTACCATGGGCAGAGACACCTTGCACTAGACCAGGTTGCTCCAAAACTCATCCAGCCTGGCCTGGAACACTTCCAGGAGCAGGGCCAATCTGGTGTTTAGGTCAGGCCCACATCTCAGTTTTATTGTCCTTGACTCTTTGTGTTTTTTCATGTGGGTTAAAGGCAGTATTTCAGTGTGTTGGTGAGATTTGCTGTAATTCAAGCACACGAGTCCTGCCCTGATTCTGTTACAGAGCTGATATATCCAAAGTTTAGTCTTTGGCTCCCGAATCCAAGAGCTCCTCCTTGCTCTTGGCACAGGTTTGGGCTTTGGGCCCTGGTTCAGCACTCAGCTGCCACCACAGCTTTTCTCTCTGTTTGTTAGTCCTTCTGATCCCTCAATCTGCCCTTGAATCCAGCCTCAGAGTTTGAATTCCTGCCTTGTTGCTGTAGAATTGCAACAATAGCAGGAAACCCAGATTTTGGAAGTGGGGAAGGTTAGGGTTAGACAGATAAGGTGTCAGTGTGAATCAGTCTGTGCCTCGAGTAGAATTCAGAAGTGTCTGGCTGCAAGCCCTGTGCTTAGTCAGAGGTCAGTCCCTTTTGTAAGACTTGGATTATGATGATAATTGGCATTTATATTGTATTTTTGCCTTGTAAGATCAATCTCAAGTTCTCTCTCTCTTTCCCAAAGATGTAGAGCAGAGTGAGTTACTCACCCGAGCGGAATCAGTGGCAAAACCGCTGGGGTTTGCTCACTGTCAGTAAAAAAAACCTTATCAGCAGAGAATTTCAGAGACTGGGGTGGGGAAGAACAGCTCGTGTAGAAGTGGTGACTGTGGGTTTGGGGCTCTTTAACTGGCTGAGGATCTCAGAGCCTCCTGAAGGAACGATATGTTGATATTCCGCTCTCAGCTCTGCCTCCCCTAATTTGTGGAGCGGGGAGTGTTTGATTACGCCGGATTTATTTTCAGAAGTTTCAGGCTGCTCTTATTAATTGTCCCCGTTCTGATGGAAAGCGAGTGGCAGAGCTCTGCATTCCCGAGCCGGTGTTTTGCATTCCTAAACAGAGCCTGTGACGCTGAACCTCCACAGATCAGCTTGGAGCCTGATTTCCCTCCTCGCTGCAGCGCGAGGCTTTCATTTCCCTGGGATGAGAGCAGTCA